ACCTCACAAGTGAGGGTAAGCTTGTCGCCCTCGATGGCCGTGCCGCTCTTGGGCATCTTCTTGTAGGAGAGAACGATCGCTTCCTGCGTCAGCAGCACCTCGTTCGTCCTGTATCATTCAAACGCACTTAATGGTACATTAAAATACAATACAGTTAAATACTGTATCATTCAACACACTTAATGCTACATTAAAATATAATACAGTTAAATACTGTATCATTCAAACGCACTTAATACACACATCAAAATACAATACAACACTACAGTTCAATATTTACAGTCAATATAAATTAATACACACATAAAAATACAATACAACAGTACAGTTCAATATTTACAGTCAATATAAATTAATACACACATAAAAATACAATACAACACTACAGTTCAATATTTACAGCCAATATAAATTAATACACAAATAAAAATACAATACAACACTACAGTTCAATATTTACAGTCAATATAAATTAATACACACATAAAAATACAATACAACACTACAGTTCAATATTTACAGTCAATATAAATTAATACACACATCAAAATACAATACAACACTACAGTTCAATATTTACAGTCAATATAATGGTCAAAAAATCAGTAAGAATACTAATGGGTATTATTGCAACACTCGTTCACTATGTTTGTTAAGTGCACAGTAACCGCATTGATAATGATGCGTTATAATTATTTTATGCATTATTACTATATAATAAATTAAATTGTACATGAAGTATTATTGCCAAAAAACATGTACTAGCTATCAATATTGAACAATAATTATTGAATATTGAATAGCACAAAAAATTTTGCATTTAATGTTTCAAGTCTACGATTCAAAAGTGATCAAATAAAAAAGATACACAATACTACAATCAAATACAGTGTAAATATATTATTCTAGGGATAATATATATCCATTTAGCGCTAGCCTAGCAAAATAGTTATTATCAATTGAGATGTAAATTATGTAAATATGATCTCTAAAAAATTCAACAGAGATAAGTGTGCGAACAAATTAAAGAGATAACGATGATAGTTATGATTTGATCTAACATTGGGATGAATTAAAAACAAATGGCACCACATTTAAATTTCAAAGGTACTAAATGGGACCAAATTGGGAGCCAAGTGGGACCAAATGGGCAGATTTGAACCAAATAGGGAATCAACTGGAAACAAATAGGCTCATTTAGGACCAGAATGAGAGTCAACTGGGATTGAATTGGCCAATTAGGAGCAAATAGGGACCAAACTTGTGGGACCAAATGGGCAGACGCGGGATCAAGTTGGGAGCCAATTGGGATCAATTGGTGGGAGGAGCATGATCATTAACTGGGTAAAAGGGGAGTAAAGAAAACTTGATTAGTCAAATTAATAAATATATGAATCAAAGAAACATATAATTTAACTATTGAAACAAATTAGAGAAAAAGTTTTTCACTAAACAAAAGTAAATAATATTTATACAAGACTCTGGTAACAACTAGCAATAGATAGATGAAATATTTAACATTTCATGTATCTATTTCATGTTTAAATATTGTAATACAAATATTGTTCCAAATATTGTAGACGACTCAAAAGTGGCAATATTAAATGCACACAGCACTCAAAAATGCAATGCAGAGTGTAAAAGAGAACGTGAGAGAGGTAGACAAGTAGAAGGCAGGTGAAAGTAGACAAGGAGAGAAGTAGGAATAAAAGAGAAGTTTAGTGTAGAAGGTAGAATCTGCACACAATTTCACTACCTTATACATCACAAATGTAATAAATTAATAGCCTTCTGCTCATATTTCATTAAATAGCCTATTTACATAAGCTACACATTTCTCTTTGTTGTTATTGCTTCTTAATTGCAGTGAATTAAGTCAGCATCTGGCGGTAATTGCCAGATGCTGCCTGAAGAAGATACTACAGGCCTAGGCATAACACTACAGGCCTAGATCAAACGCACTTAATGGTACATTAAAATACAATACAACACTACAGTTCAATATTGTATCATTCAAACGCACTTAATGGTACATTAAAATACAATAAAACACTACAGTTCAATATTTACAGTCAATATAATGGTCAAACAGTAAGAATACTAATGGGTATTCTTGCAACACTCGTTCACTATGTTCGTTCAGTGCACAGTAAGCGCGTTCATAATGATGTGTTATAATATTTAATACATTATTATTATATAATGTACATAAAAATTAATAATAAAATTTTAATAATAATTGTTATAATAAAATTGTACATAAAGTATTATTGCCAAAAAGCATATACTCGCTATCAATATTGAATGATAATTATTGAATATTGAATAGCACAATAAATATTGCATTCAATGTTTCAAGTCTACAATTCATAAGTGGTCAAATTAAAAAGACGCACATTACTACAATCAAATACAGTGTAAATATATTATTCTAGGTACAATGTATGTCCATTTAGTGCTATCAAAATCATTATTATCAATTGACATGTGAATTTGAAGTTTGCAAACAAATTTAAAGAGACTAGATACATAATGATGGTAGTTATAATTTGATCAAACATTGGGATAAATTAAAAAGAAATGGCACCACATTTAAATTTCAAAGGTAGGTACTAAATAGGACCGAATGGGCAGATGTGAACGAAATAGGGAACGAAATAGGGAACTGGAAACAAATAGGCTCATTTAGGACCAAAATGAGAGTCAGCTGGCCGATTGAATTGGCCAATTAGGAGCAAATAGGGACCAAACATGTGGGACCAAATGGACAGACGCGGGATCAAGTTGGGAGCAAACTGGGATCAATTGGTGGGGAGGAGCATGATCATTAACTGGGTAAGAGGAGAGTAAAGAAAACTTGATGATTAGTCAAATTAATAAATATATAAATGAATTAAAGAAACGTATAATTTAACTATTGAAACAAATAAGATAAACAGTTTTTCACTAAACAAAAGTAAATAATAGTCATACATTACTCTGGTAACAACTTGCAATAGATAGATGGAATATTTAACATTTCATGTATCTATTTCATGTTTAAATATTGTAATATAAATATTGTAATATAAATATTGTACCAAATATTGTAGACGACTCAAAAGTAGCAATATTAAATGCACACGGCATTCAAAAATGCAATGCAGAGTGTAAAAGAGAACGTGAGAGAGGTAGACAAGTAGAAGGCAGGTGAAAGTAGACAAGGAGAGAAGTAGGAATAAAAGAGAAGTTTAGTGTAGAAGGTAGACTAGAAGAGTAGAAGGTAGACATGATACAAGCATGTAAGGTACATGATACAAGCATGAAAGGTAGACATGTTAAAAGCATATGAGGTAGACAAGCATGTAAAGTAGACAAGTTTGGAAAGTAAACAGATCTAGAAGCATGTAAGGTAGACACATCTACAAGCATGTAAGGTAGACACACTACAAGCATGTAAGGTAGACACACTACAAGCATGTAAGGTAGACACACTACAAGCATGTAAGGTAGACACACTACAAGCATGTAAGGTAGACACATCTACAAGCATGTAAGGTAGACACACTACAAGCATGTAAGGTAGACACACTACAAGCATGTAAGGTAGACACACTACAAGCATGTAAGGTAGACACATCTACAAGCATGTAAGGTAGACACACTACAAGCATGTAAGGTAGACACACTACAAGCATGTAAGGTAGACACACCTACAAGCATGTAAGGTAGACACACTACAAGCATGTAAGGTAGACACACTACAAGCATGTAAGGTAGACACACTACAAGCATGTAAGGTAGACACATCTACAAGCATGTAAGGTAGACACACTACAAGCATGTAAGGTAGACACACTACAAGCATGTAAGGTAGACACACTACAAGCATGTAAGGTAGACACATCTACAAGCATGTAAGGTAGACACACTACAAGCATGTAAGGTAGACACACTACAAGCATGTAAGGTAGACACACCTACAAGCATGTAAGGTAGACACACTACAAGCATGTAAGGTAGACACACTNTATCTAATTAGTGAAGAACTCCCCCACCCGCCCCCTTTAAAGAGCCGTCATGTACGTATAAATTCACGTACAAGGATCGCAGTGGTATCATTGGATAGGGCAGAATGTCAGCTTTAAGACTGTCTCTTATACACATCTAGATGTGTATAAGAGACAGATGTAAGGTAGACAATACAAGACACAAAGTAGACACGCACGTAGCCCGACACTCGTAGAGACCGACGTGGTCCTCGGTGGTGGGGTCCAGCACGAGCGTGAGGTCGGCCTTCACCGTCACCTCGTCCTTCGTCTCCAGGTGCTGTCCGTCCTTGAACCTGTACACATATCATATTAATTTATATTATGTTATAATGTACATATTGCTTTAATTTCACATCCTTGAACCTGCAGACATATAATATTAATTCATATTATATCATATTAGGATATAATAACATACCATTCAACAAGCCGAGTTTTGTTTCCGCTGGCAGCGCTGCAGTTGAATGTTGTTGCCCCGTCTATGTTGAGGATCTTGATGTTGGCAGCTGAAATGTTGAGACATTTGTGAATGTTGAAAGGCATTCAGTTAAGACATAAATAATAAGGACATCCCCAACATTCACCAGGACACTGGTGAATGTTGGGGGACACTGGAGAATGTTGGGAGACACTGGTGAATGTTGGGGGACACTGGTGAATGTTGGGGGAAGACACTGGTGAATGTTGGGAGACACTGGTGAATGTTGGGAGACACTGGTGAATGTTGGAGACACTGGTGAATGTTGGAGACACTGGTGAATGTTGAGGGATGCTGGTGAATGTTGGGGGACACTGGTGAATGTTGCAGACACTATATAATACTACAACATTGACGCTATTAATTCAACATAATCAAAAGTTGTGAAGTATAGAATAAAAGAGAAATCAAATTGCACCATAAAGTCACCTATAATAAACCCAACCAGCTCAATTATCTAATTACTTTTCATACAGCCTCCCTCAAATGGACTGTCTCTGTGAACTGCAGCTGCAGCAATTATTTTTGTTGCAGCTGCAGCAACAGACCAATTAGGCATACAGCAGTGGCAGCAATTAGCTCTGTAGCAAGAGCAGCAGCAGCAGCAGCAGCAATGAGCTCTGTAGCAAGAGCAGCAGCAGCAGCAGCAGCAGCAGCAGCAGCAGCAGCAGCAATGAGCTCTGTAGCAAGAGCAGCAGCAGCAGCAGCAGCAATGAGCTCTGTAGCAAGAGCAGCAGCAGCAGCAGCAATAAGCTCTGTAGCAAGAGCAGCAGCAGCAAAATGCTGATTTTACAACTACCTACACCACGAGACATATAGCAGTACAACCCTCATGGCCTGTTGCTCGTACAAGCTTGCAGAACCTGTTACAGGAAATAAATTGCAGCTCCTAAAATGGTTATAAGAACAACCTCTTACAAAAGCTTGCAATACAGAAACCTTTCCAATTTGGACCAGAGATGACAGAAGCTTTAATACAGGCACCAACTATTGAAACTGACTCAGGCATATGGTATATACATGTATAGCAGTCAAAGTACATGTAAAGGCTAGCCCAGTATACATGTAATGGCCTAAGTACGCATAGCAGCCAAGTATACGCAACAACCAATTTCTCGTCTGATTGGTGGGTTTAGCTTAAAAGTTGCCATTGAGTACAATTCAATTAGCCTTAAAATTACTATTACAATCAATTAGCTTTAAAATTACAATTACAATCAATTAGCCTTAAAATTACAATTACAATCAATTAGCTTTAAAATTACTATTACAATCAATCAGCCTTAAAATTACAATTACAAGCATTTAGCTTTACAAGTTGTCAAGTTACAAACTCATAGCTACAGCTACTACAGCTAGTCCTGGCCAAGTGACACTTATGGACAATACCCCGGGTGGTGGGTACGACGACAAGGGTGTGGCCAATGACACTGTCTGGGGTGCAGCGGTAGAGACCCGTGTGCTCCATGGAGGCGCCGTACACTGTCAGGCCTCCTATCTTGAGGCTTTGCGGAGCTCTTGAGCCCAGCCCCTCCACTAGGCTTGGAGAGGCTCTTGACTCCAAATTGAGCCCCTCCACTAGGCTTGGAGAGGCTCTTGACTCCAAATGGAGCCCCTCCTCTATGCTTGGCAGAGAGGCTCTTGACTCCAAATTAAGCCCCTCCACTAGGCTTGGAGGGGCTCTCAACTCCAAGGAGAGCCCTTGCTCCAGGCTAGGAGAAGTTTTTGACTCCATGGAGAGCCCCTCTACCAAGCTTTGACTCTCACCATACCAGATGTGGTAGCTGTCACATCCAGTCATGTCCATGCAGCAAATTATCAATACTTTCATAAATAGTGAACCTTAAGATATTATTAATTAATCTTATACAATGAATAACATTAAAACTACCTATATACCAGCAACATCTCTGATATTTTGATTCCTATAATTGATAATGCCTACACTTCCAACACATATTCAAATACTGCATAACATGTATAAATATTAAATCAAATAGAAAGGTGAATCATTAGCTTCAAAATATTAGATTCAGTCACTTAACCATATTGATCCTTGCTACAGCTATCAACTATGCTACACAGATCTCTAATGCAATCAATACACACATGAATAATATCCAACAACATAAAACAATGAGGTCTCATGCTTCACAGCATATGGAAATTAGTCAATGCAATCATTTTAGACAGCTAGAAAACCTTAAATAAAAAATATTAGCTAAATATTCATGGTTCACTAAATCTTACATATTTCCAGGTATAATATGGATACAAATATTGCTTGGCAGATCAACAACATGAGAGTCAACAATGTACAACAGGCAAGTTTAATATATAGTTCCTAGAGATCAAACTACTTACAATTTTCTTGTTAGAAAATCTACCCAAGATAAGAACAATGCAGAGGGGCCCTAGACATTTAAATATATTTTTTTATCCATAATTTAGATACAACACAATAAATAATCTGATAAGCATAACCGACATTACATAATCAGTCAACAGGACACACTACACTCACTGACTACAATGTCTCACCACCATATATATACGAGGGTTACAGACTACAATACAAATGTATATTTTACTAATGACAAAATAAATGTATTACTAACAACAACACAAATGTATAACTGACCATAATGTATATGCACTTCTGACTACAAATTTTATAGGTATTTTCAACTACAATGTCATACCAGCTCCTATTATATGCATCACTGATAACAGTGTGCACTTTACTGGCCACAATATATGTATTTGTATTAGTACTAGTTGGCCAAATAAGCTTGTTTTACCACATGCAATTAATGACCAGAGAATTCATTGATTTAAATTTTCAGGATCAAAAAATTCTTCAGATTAGAACTTGTTTAAACAATAATGTTGAAATTAAAGTTTTTGCATTTGAAACGTCATCAATGAATCAAAATTACATCCATGAATTTTGCTTCCTCCTGCAAATTTTAATCAATGAATTCTGTGGTCATTATTTGCATCTACAATGTCTTACCAACTACAATATACATGGAACCACAACAATAAGTATGTACCCGAGTGCAGCACTAATGGGCTTGCCGTCCAGCGTCCACTGCAGTGGCTGTGAGGCGCTCAGTAGACATTACAACTAAAGTTCCCATCCTGCACCACCACGCTGTCACCACCATACTGCACCACCACACCAGGCAGTGCTGGTGCAGCACCACAGTGCATTACAACTAAAGTTCCCATCCTGCACCACCACGCTGTCACCACCATACTGCACCACCACACCAGGCAGTGCTGGTGCAGCACCACAGTGCATTACAACTAAAGTTCCCATCCTGCACCACCACGCTGTCACCACCATACTGCACCACCACACCAGGCAGTGCTGGTGCAGCACCACAGTGCATTACAACTAAAGTCCCCGCCCTGCACCACCACGCTGTCACCACCATACTGCACCATCACACCACACCACCACAGTGCACTATAAACTCCAAAGACCTCTCATCTAAATGGCAATGGAGGTTCCTTCTCAAGAATTAATATTACTTAAAAATATAATCCTGGTCAAGATAGATGTTACCATTGGCTGATGATACTGGGTACTTATTAATACATTAGGTTTGTAAAATAACAGCACTCAAATTTCTCACATTTTTCCTGAAACCCAAAAATGGAAATGTAATTTTAATATAAAACAACACATATTAAAATTGTGCTCCTTGCCAGGCATTGTACTATAACAAATTTGAGCTACTCAGAAGAACAAAATGAACTCTTGTAATGAAATTCACATCTTTCAGTTACCCATTTTGAACAAATCTGGACCAAAATTCAAACTAAACGTGAAACAATTATTCAAATAATTATTAATTATACAAAGGTAACTGTCACGCTTAGAAGCAATCATCAATGCAGTTACAATAATCCAGCATTTGAAAACAAATAGGTTAAATATATAAAATAAAATAATTTATATATTGGCCACAAAAATACAAGATTTACTTACCATCAGAGACATCATCAGCCTGGCTTTCTGCAACAGCGTGGCCACCACCACCTCCTGCACCTGTAAACTTACATTTATGAGCAACATAATTTAAATCTTCATTTTTTTACAAGGCACAATGAAGACAAAACATGGAAAATTGCTAATTAGAACTTAGGAATCAAGATACAAAGTTGAATTTTCACTTATTTACTCAATCATGAGCTAATGCACACTAAATATACACTTGTGCAACTAGTCCAAATCATAGAATAAAGTTAACAGATAAGTTAATGGATCAAGATATTTCTCAATAGATTGTGTATGCTGTTAATGCAGCATACTTTCAAATAGTAGACATTATATTTATAATGATAGGGCTAGACATTATTATGATTGTAGGATTAAGCCACCTCAAAGTAAGCATGATTTCAACAGTTATATGGAAATACACATGGAAATTAATTCAGAATCATTTTCAAACACAGGCATAGAGTATTAAACCTATTGTCAGACATGAACTTCAACATTTTCTACACAAGACTTGGTAGGCAAGGATGATAAAGAACAATATTCACAGATACATTAAATAGTAAAAGTAAAAATGTTCTAGAAGAAACATCATGACTTTAAAAACACTATTTTTGTAACTGTAAGCCATTAGGTTAAATGTTATTCATAAATCTCACCATTGAAAGAGCTAGTCAAATCACAAACATATTACACAAATGCATATACATTTTTTATAAAGCTGTATTAGTTTCAGGGTAAAACACACAGTAAACATCAGATACTATTTGCACCCAAGTACATAATATACTTTAGTTCAACTTGATGCTTTCTTGACTTGCAGAGTCAAATGATAGGCCAGATAAGCTGGCTAATAGGGATAACAACAGTTCTCAACCACAACCAAAGTTATCTACCAAAAAAACTACCATCAAAATATTATCTACCAGGTAGTAACAGTTTAATTTTACTTGTAATATAAACTACTGAAATTATTAATCCTATTAGAAGATGCTATAATAGTTTATATTAGACACAACAGTCACAGAATGACTCCCCACCTCCATGAATATGGGATGGGGAAGGTGCATCTGACTCAATTTCAGTTGAGTAACTCAAGTCTTCATCAAGACGTAGTATGTCTATGTCAACATCATGGCTATGCTCACTACCAACCTCCCAGGAATCAACATAACCATTTTCATCAGATCCTGTTGAAGCTAAACTCCCACTAATTTCTGCAAGCTTTTTTGCAACATCAAAAACCATGACAGGATCTTTACCATTGAGTTTGGTCCTGCTAGAAATATTTGGCCGCTCCTCTTCAAAACTATGATCATAGTCCTGATAATCATGGTAAGCTGAACCCTCTGTGCCATAGACTATTTGGTTCCCATATGGTCCATTACTTGTGAAAATAGTTCCCACTTTATGGTAGTAGTTACCATTAGTCTTCATGTTGTCACTATTGCCTCCACTATTAAATTGACTCTTATGCTGCTGGTGCTGCAAAGTAAGCAGGTTCTGGCTAATACCATCCATATTCCTATGAATATCCCTGGATATCCTTCTCTTGTATTGCAGGGAGTTGGTTTTTGTGAAATTTACAGCTTGGTCACTAAGAACACCTCTTCTCTTTGGCTGAGTAAAGCTTGTTGCTGCGCCATCAATGTTTACAACACCACTAATGTCCACTAATTCATGGTTTTGTTTTCTTGTCATAGATGTAATTTCAAAATAATTGTTATCTCTAGCATCATTGGGTGTCTGTACTTGGATGCGCTTCAAGTTCAGAGCTTCAAAGTTTTTATTTATTTCTAAAATATTTTTAGGTTCAGATGGATTCCCAACATAATTAATATGCCTGGCTCTTTTTTTGATCATTTTTCTTCTAATTTTTTTCATATAATCATCAGAAATCCCTATCTGCTCATAATTGATGCCCTTGCCTAAATTAGTCTGAAGTTCATCAATATTTATAATATACATGTTTGTTTTGTATGTTGGAGTTTGGGATGAAGTATCAGGCTTGTGTGAGGCTTCACCCTTGGTCCTGATCCTGTTAAAAGGATACCACCAACATGTTAATAATCCTCACTGAAATTCTCATATAATATTCACTTGTGTTCAAAATAATAATAACATTCTGATCGTATTAGCTTGCAGCATGATCCTGTTACATGGGTATGCTCAGGTGTATCATCAACAATCCTTACCAAAATTATTCATCTAATATGCATTCTAATTTCAAATTAATGCTTAAAATCACTTGGCTGCTCAAGTTGCAAATTTACCAGGAATTTAAAAGTAAAGAAAATAGCCAAAAAGTTCACCAGTTTCTTATAAGCAAAACATTTCGGAGTCCAGCTCCATCGTCAGTTCAAAACCTAGAACACAGGTACATACAATTAGTATCCTAAATTTTTTTTTATTTCTGTTATCTTCAATTTTAGTTCTAATGTCCTCAAGTTTAGGCGAATTGTTTGAATGTGAATTTTAGGCTACTAATTGTTTGTAACTGTGTTCTAGGTTTTGAACTGACGATGGAGCTGGACTCCGAAACGTTTTCGCTTATAAGAAATGGTGAACTTTTTGGCTATTTTCTTTACTTTTAAATTCCTGGCAAATCAATGCTTTAATGTTATTTGATTACTAGAAACAAAAATCTTTCATGATTACTGAATAAGCAGAGTAGAGAATGTTGCAACTACACTCTTTGAGTCACCAAAATTTTGATATTAACAAGGGGGTGGTGGTCTCAATATTTACAGAAACATAATCTAAAAATTCTCTTTTTGATAATTCAAGACATTTTCTCATCACTTGAAAAAGAATATAGAACTATCACAACATATAATTTATTGAACATTAAATAACAATTAGCTCGATTTTTCATGTGCTACAATTAATTTGAAAATTTGAATCCATGTTATCAACATAATTCTGCATGATAAAATCACATCTCCTGTACCCTTCTTCCAGTGGTTTACACTAAATTAAAGAAGCAAGACACAACCAGCGTTTAATTTCAAAACCAGTCTATAAACCATTAACACCACAATAAATATTTACAAATTTATAAAGAATGAAAGGGCACAATAAACACTTAATTCACTATAATTCATAAAAAGAAAATATTTAATTCAATCTATTGTCAGTGTCAACCAGTCCAGACTAGAAATATTGTGACAAGTCACACCTGAATGTAACTAATAAGGCAGATCATTGTACATTTTACCCATTTTCATGAGCCTGGTCAAGTTTCTTTTCAAAAATCCAAGAAAATTGCTCATTTCTGACAAAACTTTAAAAAATACCAGTAAAACAATCATTTTTACTCACAATCTTTAGAATAGTCTGGTCAATATTCCAGATAACTAACCAGATAAAGGAACTTTTAGTATACTTCCTGAACCACAAATGTAAGCAAGTAATCTCCATATTTAATCAATTTGAATTCAGTCCTCAGTCTAAATTAACATGTGGGGCTGCAAGATTGAAAATTCAACCAAAATATACCACTTTGAGGGAATACCTCTTTCAGTAAAAGATTGGGCAGAATCCACCTATGAATCTACAAAAATAATCATGAATCAGCAAAAATGCTTGTGAATCTGGTCAATTTCACCCATTCCTATGGCTTTTCCACAATTACATTAGTAAAAGATAAGAAAAATAGCCTATTCATACCCACAATTTTTCAAAATCACTTTTTTCTATAGACCTTCACAAACACTTTTATTAAAAAAACAATAGAAACAGCACAGTTGGGCTTGCCATTTTTAAAACTGACTGTTGCAACAGTCTTAAATTTTCAAACAACTTTTGAATTTCTGCCCAATATTCCAGATTGATTCCAAATTCCATGCCTAACTTGCAGTGTCACTGCATGGTGGAATTCAGCAAAATGGTCAGTTATTTACATCCACCAGGATGGCTAGAGCACTCCAGCACAAGAGTGGTATTTGTGAAGGATGAGACCATTATTTGTTAAGGAAATTACACTTATTGGGTGCTGGAGTGCTGTAATGCACTTGTCCAGGCCAACCCGCTCCTAGTGAAGCAGTACAAGCATGCTGCTGCTGCTGCCGTCAGCCCACTTTTATTGAAATGTGCAGCTGCCCGCTCCTACAGATAGCGCAATAAAAACTGGCACCCTTCCATCCATTTCCACTGTTTTAGCGTGGTCAATTTCATTTGCGTTTCAGATGCTGTAAATATCGCAATCTACTAAAGGAGGTTTCTGGCAACCACGGAGACCCTGATGAGTGTTGCCAGTCACTTGGCGATACGTTAGTCGCAATTTTGTGTTTGTAGCAGGTGTATGTTTCTATGCGCGCTAGGCCCGATTTTTTAGTGAAAACACGTTTTTTTTAATAAACGTCCTCGTGAAATTGCAATTGATTACAATGGCCCCTAAACACCTCTCACTTGCGGAAAAAGTGCGCATTATGACATTACGTGAAGAAAAAGCGAGTATTTTCAACATTTGGGAACGTACGGGGAGGAGCCGTAGGTCCATCTTGAGGGTCCTTGCAGCGCAAAAAAAGTTGACACCTGGGGAGGTGCCGAAGAGGAAAGTGGGGTCTGGGAGACCTAAACAGACTTCAGAAATGACTGACAAGCTTATAAAGCGTGAAGTTACCAATAATCCAAAAATTACTGCAGTCCAACTGAAAAAAAATCATCCAATGTTGCTTCAGCAGGTGTCTCCGTACTGTGCAGCATCGCCTGCAAAAAGACCTAGGCCTACCTTGCAGGGTCGCGGCACATAAACCCCTTCTCAATGCCCGTATGGTGAAGCAAAGAATGGATTTTGCCCGTCATTATCTTCATTGGACACCTGAGCAATGGTTAAAAGTGATGTGAAGCGACAAGAGCACGTTTCAGATGTTTTCCAACCGAAGGGAAAGGGTCCGTAGGCCTAGTGGCTCAAGTGATGTGGAGCGACGAGAGCACGTTTCAGATGTTTTCCAACCGAAGGGAAAGGGTCCGTAGGCCTAGTGGCTCCGACCCTTTTGCCCCCAAGTACACATCTAAAACTGTGAAACATCCTGAATCTGTCATGGTTTGGGGCTGTTTCAGTGGCCTAATGGGTAGAGGGGGGTTTGTATTTCCTCCCAAAAAACGCCACAATGAATGGTGATCGCAACATTGAGTGTTCAAAGGATCATTTGCTGCTGCCCTATGAAATTCATGGAACATCAATTTTCATGCATGACAAGGCTCCCTGCCACATGTCCAATAAAGTGAAGACTTTCCTTGCAGAGAAGGGCATTGAGGTCCTGGAATGGTGTGGAAATAGCCCTGATCTTAATCCCATTGAGAATGCATGGAAACACATGAAGAGTAACCTGAGAATTGCAAATTTGACATCGCTTCCAGAATTAAAAAAGGAAATCAAACGAGTCTGGATTCAGGAGATGGACGTTCAATATTTTGAAAACTTAGCCAGGAGTATGCCAAATTGCCTTGAGAGGGTCCTGAAGGCAAAAGGTCAAATGACTAAGTATTAAAACAAATTTTAAGTAAATTATTTATTTTTTATTTCACCTTCATTAGGCTTTGTAGATGAATTTCACATTTTATTTCTTAGGTGCCAGTTTTTATTGCGCTTACTGTAGGCATATTGGCTTGCAACTGGTAGCAATCCGCATTGGAATGGTTAGCATCATCCCAATTTGTAATATCCGGCCAAAGTTTAAAAAAATTGCAGATGAAAACAAGCATTTAATGGGTGATTTAAATCAAAAATCAAAAAATGGTGAATAAATCAAATGTTTTTTTTTATATCCATAAGAGGGATTAAACAATTGCAAATTGATTTATTATCCTTTAAATAAAAATATTTGCATCAAAACTCTTGGACGATGTATCTACCACAATATTTGTACACTATTAATCAGCATCATCAAGAGCCAAACGTCGTCAACCAATCATTGCAAATAACCAACCAATCGTTGGCTGCTAATATGTTGCATTGTTCTACCCATTATGGCCAATAGAACCTAAATAAACTCTTCTCCAGTCATGAGACTTAAAGTGGTTAAAAGCTCAGTAGTTAAAAGTTCAGAGTACAAAAATTGATGCACTAGAGAGGCGTGGGTTCGATCCCAGCTCTGTGCGCCAGTTTCTGGTCAGTATCGGCAAGGAGGCCTGGTGGTTAAGCACAGCAGAATTGTAGCAGTGCGTTGTGAGTTCGAGACCGCAAAATGCTGTGAATGTTCTGCAATGTTAAGAATTGGCAAAAGGCCTATGGCCTACTAAATGCTGAAACCGCTATTATTATTATTATATTATAAATTCATACTCATAGGTGATCTTGAATGTGTGCATTGCGTTATGCAATTTGTAAAATTATAAATTCTAAATAGGTACAAACTTCTTCAAATTAATTCTGAAAGCGTAACATCTATTGAATCTAATACGGATCATTAATTTTAGCATCGTATTTCCAAAAATCAAGTATTGCTTTTTAGTATTGCATTTCTTCCAATTTAAAAAAATTCTTTTACATCAATAACAAATTTTTTCTTACAGCTCCTATGATGATTGACAAATGACGATCTCACTCATATAGCTAAAAATTTTTAATTGAATGATTTTGTCATTTTGAAGACTCCATTGATTACAGAACTTCAGTTTTTGCAAGTGTATTCAAGAATAGTTTCTGAAATAGTAGGGACATTTCAATTATCATTCTGAAATAGAAGCGTCATTTCCGTTCTTATATATAAATAGGATTAATAAAATATGTATCAAATCCATTCATTGTCATTCAATTTGTGATATGAACAACAGTTATACTTTCATTCCTATGATGCTCATTTTTACCGGTTGAAGCTGTAGAATTAAAATAAATTAAAAAAATTAAAAAAAAATTAATTAAAATTAAATTTTATTAAATTAAATTTTATTATTTAACACACTAGATGGTACATGCTGTAGAATTAAATTCTATTAGAAAAATGTTGAATTAAAAATCTGATTAAATTTTTTAAATTAAAAATTAATTTTTATTAAATTAAATTGTATTATTAATGCACATTATGGTACATGCTCTATGTTTTATATAATGAAATAGTTTCTCCTTTTAAACAACAAGCATTTTCTAAAAAAGACACAAAACGTTCGAAAACTTGCAATGGCAGATAAAATCATTCAGAATTTGAAGTGAATTTATTAAGATAAATTCAACATAATAGGGCAAAAAAAAATGAAAAAATACAACTGTGGAACATATCAAAGGGTTTTTATAATTTAAAACAACTTTCAATCATTAAAATCTCAGTATGGAATGTGGATCAAGTCTATTTATTGTGAAATCGAACTTGACATGACCAAAAGAAATGCGTGACACTGCCATGTCAGATGTAATCGTAGAAGCACGATGTGAACGTACACTTTGAAAAAGTTACAGTTAATCACATTATTTTGTGTGATATCGAAAACATTGTTGGTATTGTCCAATCGTGAGAAATTTTTGCGAATGTGGATGTGTTTTTTTAGAACATATTCATTGCAAAAATTTGTCAACTAGCCTACAGATAAACAACTAGTTTACTTGATTGAGGCGTTGCCAGCACGGGATTGGATGTCAAACCACGCGCGATTTTGGAAGCGCAGCAGTTTCTAATGAGCTCAGTGTATCAATTTTCACTACAGTGGAAGGTGGTGCAACGTGATAGGGTAGGTTTTTTGATACATTTTCTCATGTTAACATGAGAATATATTACCTATACAGAATTCCACACTTCCACATGGGAACTTCACTGAGTGAAGTTCCCATTAATCATCTACAAAACCAGTTAGCTAGCCTAGCCCCACGGTGCAGAGAGTGGATGAATATTGCAACTTTGCAAGATCTTTGGCAATGCTTCAGTAGCAAAATTTACGCCTTCAGAAGATCTTGCCAACAAATTTAGATTGAAATTCCTGCATTTAAAATATTTGTCAGTCTTGGCCAACTATTTTAAAAAAAAGCAAAGTTTCTGGTATGTTGGAGGGATCAGGTCATCAGGATGCAGTGAAGCTTGTCCGGAAATCAGTTGCGATGAGTTCCCACCAATAAAATGTAAACATCAAGTTTACGATTACGTAGTTGCGGGCACATTAGAGCAGTTGGACAACATTATCACATGTTCAGTTGACACTTGCTGTACAATCAGACTCTTTTTAGGGTAAAATTAATTATTTGGGGTAACACGTGCATGCAACCTTGTAAATAAGTTTGTGGCCTGTAAATAGTTTTTCATTACACAGCATAAATGGCTCTTCATTAAAAATTACCCGGCGACGCATCTTAAAATTACCCGGCAACACTTAGGGATTAAAAACCCATATATTGGCAACGCTGCATCCATGGTCCACCCTCTGCACCCTGGGCCTAGCCTAGTACAAGTTTGATAAAATAAAAATGTAGAAGTTGTCCTTCAGTGACCTTCACTTAAGCACCACATTGGCAGTGAGCTATTTAGGCTTGTTGCTCCTTGCCTTCATTAGAAACCAGTTCATTCAACAAGAACAAGGCAAACAAGATTTTTTTAGAAACCAGTTCATTAGCCTAAATATGTGGTCTACTCAAAGATTTAATTAAATATTTTATGTATTTAATTATGATATTCCTTCAAAGTTATACTTAATAATAATCATCTACTTATGAAGTATCCTATAGGAAAAATTACCTAGAAGAAAAAGTCTCGCTTGCTATATATTTAAAGGCACTATGGCAGAAAACGTGACGCAGTAGCAGAATACTTGATAAGGATCTGCTTTGCCAGCTACCTTCGTTTGCTTAAAAAAACGAACCTGTTCTGCTGTTCAGAATAATCCAACCAAATTAAAAGTATGGCTTTAATATACATAAATAATTTGCGAAAATAAAGTACATCATGTTCTTACCTAAAACGGAAGGGATGAGGCTACACACTAAGAAATAGGCAAATCTAGACATGGCGAGGATTATTTTAAAATTTACGTCAGCTAAAATCTAACCAGTAGCTCACAACAAACGTCACTGAATCACTGAGCCAGCGGCCGTCGTCTGCTCCGTCTATATATACTGATGAGAAATTTGAAAAGCCAAAGTATTATCAGTTTGGTTTTTGCACAATATGCCCCATATATTACTCTATACGTATACTTTGGCATGAATAATGAATAAATCAATTGAAAATATTCAAAATATTTAACCAAAAATGTATAAGTATTTGCATGGTAATGAGACATTTGCATGAGGTGTTTTAACCGAGTCCTGACAATATATATAGAAACACAGATGAATAATCGAGAAATTATGAGGTTTTGGCATATAAATTAATAACACGATAATATCCGTGAAAATATAATCATCATATAACCTTGAATTTATGATTTTTCGATCAATGATTGTTGAAAATTATTAAAGAAAACTTGTTTTTATAGTGGATAATATTTGGGTAATGGCTAGTTACTAGAAAATGAAATGCCTTTGAATTCAAGCGTGTTCAAGCATGAAATGCCTTTGAATTCAATCAATTGTTCTTTGAATGAATAACATTATTTCAATTATTTCTCATCTATCCGACAACATCGCTGTCAGAATGTCAGAACAACTAAACACAATGATTTCAATATTTAAAAGCTAAATATCATTAAATTCCTGGATTTCCAGAATAGAGCCCTATTACGATTGAACGTCTGTGTATAAAATTCGTGTCATTGATGATTTAAGCAATACCATGAATAATTTCCTGTTACATAATGCATCTCATGTATGTTAGATTATATTTATATCTTAAACCTATACTCCAAAACCCCACTACTCCAGCGCACAACAAAAACTGGTTTACAGGTAATTCACTCATTCCTCATAAAAACTTGTACGGCAAAAGATTTCTTCTTTGCATAAGCAAGTCCTGGGGCCATACTTTCAAAATTTGCTAAGAGAACATAAGTACTTACGCTCTATTTTCTTGTCTATGATTGGTGGGCTTTGCTTGAAAGGCCGTCGATGATTGGCTGATGAACTTACGATCTCTTACCTTTTTTTTTTTTTTGAAAGTATTGGTCCTGGTCTAATATGACGCCAGCCGTGATACTTATTTTAGACTTAAACAAAACCTAATTAATGTAAACCCACACGCGTCAATAACAACAGCGGTATTAAACCAACGTTGTGCTGTCTGGTTTTATAAAAAATAAGTTACAATGTAATAATAAATTTAGTTATGTAATAGTTAATTAAATAGATTTCTAAGCCGACACTTCTATTCTATTCTATTTATGTAGCGGGGATTACCAAATAGCTAGTTATGGTATGTTATTTTCCCAACGAAATGAATTGAGTCGATCTTATTCATTCCACACATTTTATTAATGCGTTCAAAGATTAAAAATAATCTTGGGTAACTAATTGAAACGCAGGAAGAGTCGTTGAATTTGTAGGATGTGCCTGAGTTGAATAGTTAAATATGTTCATGCCGGTATGTTCAACACGGGAAAGACTGAAGCTGCCATAAAATATAATTTTATTATACAAAATAATCTAAAATTCCTCTACAAAATCTAGGAACTATTAAAAGTGAGTTATATTTATTACTATCAAATCAACTTATACACAAAATTTAGAAATAACTATTATACATACAGAAGTATATAATATATATTATTATAAGTATACTATTTATTTATATAAATGTATTAATTAATTGAAAGAAATCGCGCGTGTGATGACCATTTAACAACAAAATTTAACAACAACATTTAACCATTTTCTATTAATGGGGATTTTGCCCGCTCTGAGAGTATTTCTTAAGGGAGCATTTCCCCCCGCTGAGGGGTATTATTTATAGAGGGTATATTCCCCCGCTCTGGGGTATTTTTTAAGGGGGTATTTTCTGCAACTGTGGGGTATTCATTATGAGGATATTTTCCCCCACTGTGGCCCCCATTGTAGACCACGTGGGCATTAAATTAAATAGCAATATATAAATCCATGGATTTTCCCATGCATTTTTAGCGCGCAAGGACA